TTTATTAATGTTTTCTCTTAAGAATCTTGCCTTCTTAGTCATATATAAGATGTTGCCTAGCAACATCTGAGTCTTGCTCCTTTGTTTCCTTCCAATAGTTTTACATTTTACATTTAATTGTAATTTATTTTTATTGTAAAGTATTACCTACTATTTTATTGCCACAGTTAATACATTGTTTCAATTTACCTCTTGTGTTTTATAATTGTTTCTTTTTTCTTTTGTCCTGTTTTGGATTAACTAGAATACTTTCATTTCTATTAGCTTTCCTATTGTTTTGTTAGTTATGTCTTCTTTTTTGGGAACTTTAATGGTTATCTAAAACATTACAAAGTTCATCTTAGAATACGAAATACTAATATAATTTGCTTAAATTAAATTTACTAATGTGAAGATACTTCATTTATAGTTCAATGACTTTTAACATATCTGAGCTCCTGCTGGCTTATTTGTTGTAATTTTTAACTGTCTATATTACTTAAGCAATATTACATGGCCAACATTTATTTAGATTCATCCTTTGATGGCAATTTAGTTTTTCATTGTAATGGTGAGTTTACATTTAGTAAAATCATTCATCTTCCTGAATAACACTTTATTTAGTGTGTGTGTGTTTGTTTGTTTGTTTTGGTAGTTCTGCCATTAACTAATTCTCTCAATTCTTATTCAAGGTAAAATATATTTATTTACCTTTTATTCTTGGAAAACATTTTTGCAGAAAAATAATCTCACATTGGCAGTTATTTTTGCTTTTGCAGAAGTTTATTATTTTAATTTTGACTCCTACTGTTTCCTTTGAAAAGTATACTCTATGCCTTCAAAATTAATGTGACTGACTTACTTTATAATCTTCTTTTGCTTGACTATCAACAGTTTGACTGTGGTACATACAGTTATGTTTCTGTTTCTGTCTATACTAATTCGGGTTTATGGTATAATCCTGAGTCTACTTGAATCTATGGTTGTGTGTGTGTGTGTGTGTTTATCTATGTATACCCATACATATGTATGTATATTTTTTCAGATAATATATAGTCTGATTATATATATATATATATATATATATATATATATATATATATATATAATCTGAATAAAATAGTTAAAATATACTCTTTACCTTTTGATTCTTCATTTGTATTGCCTTCTGGGGTTCATATTAAACATCCAAATGTTTGTTTCAGAGTTTTCTAATATCTGCTGAAATTCTCAACCTTACATTTTATTTCTTGACAATATAAAAGATAGGTTTTTAAAGTCTGTGTCTGACAATCCTGTTAGGTAAATCTTCAATTTATCTATTTTGAATGTCTGTTGTTTCTTTTGGTTTTGGTCATGATATCTACTCTCCTTGTATTTCTGCATATTTCAGATCTACTACAGAAAAAATTGTGAAAATCTTAATGATAACATGATTCTTAGAATAATGTTTTCTTTTTTCAAAGATAATTTATCATCATGTTGAAATAATTCAAGTTGAGATTCAGTACCTATAAGGATATATTTATTTTTGCATAATATTCACTTCTAGTGTGTAACTCTTTTATACCCTAACCCAAATTCTGCAGATGATGTAAGGCCACCTCTACCTTCTAAAGGGAACAAGAAACATTGTTTATTTCTTGCATTGTCAGGCATCTCAAAAAGATTCTGTGTTCTTTCTTTTTAAAGATTTAATTATTTATTTTTAGAGAGAAGGGAAAGGAAGGAGGAAGAGAGGTAGTAAAACATCAATGTGTTGTTGCCTCTTGTGTGCCCCTTACTGGGGACCTGGCCTGCAACCCAGGCAGGTGCCTTGACTTGGAATTAAACCTGCTATTCTTTGGTTCACAGGTTGGCACTCAATCCACTGAGCTACAGCAGCCAGGGCTGATTTTGTGTTCTTATCAGGCTCTTATTGAGCTTCATATTCCAAATCAATCACTACTCTAAAGCTCTGCTTGAAAAGTTTTAACTTTCTAAGTTTTCAATGACATAGTAACCCCTTGAAGCCTAACAAAAATATTTTGCTATTTTTTTCTCATTGATCTCATTACTATGATTTGGTTTGAATAACTTGGAATAAAATTCTCCATTTTATCTTATCTATATAATAGTTAATTCAAACAAAAAATCACCTTCTTCTTCTACTCTCACAGTAGCTTTGGGGGTAGTACTCATTGAGAACAAAGTGATATGAAAAATGCTCTCATAATTTTACTTAGAAGCTCTCCTTCCTTTAGAAGATTAGAGTTAGTACCAGTTTATTTTTGTAGGTAAATTTCAACTGTGAAATGTGCATTTCATTATGTTCTCCACTATCAATTGCAATTTTAGGAAATAAGTAAAGTCAGCAGCACATTAATAATTAAAGATTTTTTGGTTTTTTCAAGACAGAATGAAATATTTTTAGCACAGTCTAAATACAAGGTTTCTATTCATTCACAATTGTAGTTGCATGTTTTATTTTATTTTATTTTTAGAGAGGGGGAGAGGAGGGAGAAACAAAAGGAGAGAAATATCAATTTGAGAGAGAAACATTGATCTGTTCCCTCTCATACCCACCCTGAGCAGGGAATAAACCCACAACATGGTAATTTTCCCTGATGGGGAATCAAATCTGCAACCTTTTGGTTTGTGAGATGACACCCAACCAGCTGAACCACACCATGAGGGCTGCATGTTTTTTATTTTTTGTTTTTTTTTTTTAATTTTCTAAGACAGCTATTGCCTACTTTATTTATTTGGTTTAGACATAGATTAACTTTAGTATTCCGCAGAAGTACCAATTAGTTATAGAAGTAAAGTATTTTTAGGTGTTTAAAGGAAGACAGTTTACTACAGAGAACTTTTGATACAAAGGAAACATGAAAGTGATTTGGTATTGGAAATCAATTGTAATTTACAAATAGCATAGATCTTCAAAGTAAAAAGGAAATGCATCTGCTTATTTTAAGTACAGAAACTCTACTAAATTTTTGGACTATAAAGGGGTTCCTAGTCCTTGTGAATTTATTTGACTTGCTTAGGGTTATAGATGGCATATTTGCTTGTTATTTTGGTTTTGGCTTGGGTTTTTCTCTTTCTTTGTTACCAAAGAGCAACTCTTATTTTCAGAAGGCTGTCATTAATATTTGGATATCTGGACCTTTACAATTTCAAGTGCTTTAATGAGGTTAGAATTTATTTTACATTATTGAGTACTGTTTTAACACCCATGTTTCAGCATGCACCATATTTTTGATAAAATATCGGGCCTCTTAGAACATATTATAATAAGCTAGCAGCCTCAATTTTTTGGAGATGATGGAAATAAGATTGTGATTTAATTTTATCTGATTTAAATAAACTTCACATTTGTTTCAGGTTAACTGTTATTTGAAACATTTCTCATACCTGACATAGTAATAGAGAATTTACTCAAATTTGCCTTGAGTAGAGTAGGTGGAGTTGAAATAAATATTTTAAACTTTTTGTTGTAATATACAATCACTTTCCTCATTAAAGTATTGACTAGATTCTATTAGTAGACATTTAAAAGTGGTAAAGATTTTTCTTTATATCTGAATAATCAGGCATGTTGTACACAATAAATGAATACTGCCTTTCAGTAAAAAGTTACTTTTATACTGAATTTATCAGATATTGTATTGCTTTGACCCTCAGGTACCTTTTGCTCATGAGATGGTAAATAGGTTAAAAGGCAGAATTATAACTAAAAAAATTAACATATAAATAGCTATGTGTATGTGTGTGCATAGGTACATGAATAAAAATTTGCATTTTTGAGATTAACAGGTGCAAGGTAGCAATGGCAGTCAGATTTATCATTGTCATGTGTATATCCATTCTCTTCTCCTCGAATTTGCAGAGGTAAATGGCTACTTCTCATCTGGAAATCCCAGAGAATAACTTTAACCTGACTTTGGCATCATAACAAAGCCAAATAATGGACAGTTATCGGATTCAAAAACTATCAGAAACCTATCAGTTAAATCTGTGCAGTCACCTGGTGTTTTTTCAGTGACATTTCCAAATCTTCTAATTGTCTCTCTAGAGGTGAGATAGTTCTGTCCACATATATGGTTCTTTCTGAGCTCCAGAAATGAAAGGGTGACTCTTTTAATTACTCGCTCAGACTCATTGAAATTAAAGTCTAAAATTTTCAAACGAGAGAACTGAATTATTTCAACTTAAATCACAGTCAAATCAATTGAGTTTAACTTTACACTGCCCTGAAAGGACAAGGAAAGACAGACAATGTAGGTCACAGGTGGCAAACACAAGGTCCACAGTCAGAATCCGACCTTCCACCTTGTTTTATCTGCCCCGCACCTTGTTTCTACTTCGTGCCAGCACCGAGCTCTCACTTAACTGTTAAGGAGTAGTGACATTTGTACAGTCTTAAAATCACATTCAGCCCTTTGATGGCAACCTCAAGGCTGATGTGGCCCCGGTGAAAATAAGTTTGACACCCCTGATGTAGGCCATACCACTCAGTGACAGGGGCAGTTTCCATAGAAGATGGGGTATGTCTGTGGCTGGGGAGACATGGAGAAATGCATTTATAAGAGTTTGGTTATTCAAATATAAGTTCCCTGTACTATTTATGAAGACATTATTATATTAAGTTTAACTTTTATTTTTATTTTAAATTATTTATAATTGTCTACCTATCTTGTGGTTAGTATTTCCAAGGAAGACATCCTGTTATTTGTATAAGCCCCTAGTCTAATGCTTTTTTAAAAACATGCTCACCTGTCCATTTCTCCAATTCATAGAATAGGCTAAGTCTGTAGACATACCTATGGTCATACATAAACCTTAATAACATCTATAAAAATTAATGTTTAAATTATCTTTATATTTTCAGGTATAATAGGTAAACCTTATTCATAAATAAACCTTAAGAACATCTATACAAATTCATCATTCAATCTAAAGCTTTATTTTCAGGTATAATAAGTAAAAGTTAATAACACCTAAAATACATATACTTTAAATCACCTTCTCATTTTCAGGTATTTTTGGCTGAATACACAGGACCTCTGTTTATATATTTCCTCTTTTATTTGAGGATCCCATACATATACGACATGAAAGAGAGTTCTAGAAGATCACGCCACCCGGTGGTACAGTAAGTAAAACATAAAGTACATTTAAATTAAGGGGTTAAAATAACATGGAGATATTATGTTGATAAAGTTATTTGTGTAATCAATTAAAGTGTATTCAAATTTAGGGAAATAAATTTTAGGTAATCACGAATAATATATCACACCAACTTGCAAATTTATAAACAAGGAACTATTAAGTATACTTTAAAATAGAGGCAACTGGACTTATTAACAACTATAATTATCAAGAGAAATCTGAAAATTTAGAAATATTTAAAAAGTTCAAAATTATAAAGCTGAGAGGCCTGTATAGAGCTTAAAATATACATATTTCTCTAAGAATATTGGCAATATTGCATAGGAAAGAAATAATTGCCTAAATAATAAATGGGTAAATAAAAATTTTACAAGTTTCCTTTAGTAAGTAAAAATCCAAAATAAAAATGTACTTTGAAGTAAGAAAAAAAAAGACTAGGGCAGTTATAAAAGCAGAATAAGCAGAATATATAACTGGTAGTTAGCATATTGTGGAAATAATCAGTTAATCTCTTTCTCTCTCTGTCTCCCTTCTCCCTCCCTCTCCTTCTCTTTCTGTCTCCACACCAAATTAAAGAGAGAGAGAATAATTGTTCAAGGTACCATACTGAGATGTACGTATATAGGATTAGCAATTAAAAAAAAGATCCTGATTAAATGAAAACATAATAAGTGAGAAGCAGAATTTATATCTTAAGGATATTAGAAGACAGAGAATGATTTGTCTGCTGAATTTGTTATCCCAAATCAAACTTTTCTTGCCGTTAATGTCTGTACTAAAGCCACACTGACCTCCTCTCTTGCCCTTGTATGTCCCATGCTCCCTTTCAGACAGGCTTTACACGTACTCTCCCTCCTCCTCCTCCATCCTTGTTACCTCCCTCTCCCTTATCTCTATTCAAACTTCACATAAAATCCCGATATTTCTTACTCAGAGTAGCACTTGTTATTCCTTCCATGACAAATATACTACCAAAATGTTTTTTATACAATTTCACTGTAAAATTATATATTCACAACCAATTTTCTTTCTATCTATAGAGTTAAATTTTACAATGGTTGTGCTTTGATGTTTTGTCTACTTTCACTGCTTAACACATTACTTGATTTACAAGGACTATGCAATAAAATGTTTTTAATGGTAAGGTAGATTAACAAATTACATACACTTTATTTAACATTGTTCACTTTTAGAGTATGAAAGGGGAAAATGTGACCTTGATGGGAGTTCTGAGGTAGCTTTTCTAAGAAAGTTGCATTTGAACTTTTTCCTTTGTTCTCTGGAGGGATGAGTCAGATTTTAAGTAGCAAGGTAGTGGACTCTTCCTCTGGAAATTATCTATAGGGACACAAAGAATGCTGGTAGGGCAGACCCACAGTGGTGACAGGGAGGCACAGGGAGACGGCTCTCAGGCATGACGGTTTGGTAAGTATTGAAGAGGTTGTTGAAGGCCCTTTGAGACATTAACGTGTCTTTCTTTTTCTTAAGTGCAAAAAAAATGCCTTATTCATTTAGAAAGATTATGGGTAAAGAGTTCATAAGGGGAAGACAACTGCATTCAGTTTTTAGACCAAACATATAACATGTACCAGATTTACAGCACAGCATGAAAAAAGAACACTTTTCTTCCCATGGCATTCTCAAAGGAATTGGTTCACAGGCGGTTACTATTCTTAAACACAAACACAGCATGTCTTCTAACTTCTCACTGATAAATGTATTTGTGCAACATGGTTCCAAAATAACAAACATGTTAATTTTATATGAAATCATTCCAGACCAGATATACACAAAGTACTTCTGAAATGCAAATGTCTAATAGAGCTCTATGAAACAATCACAAGTCTTCTAAGACAACCTAATTTCAGGTTGGATGTCACTTCTCATGGTTAATAAGATCAAATTTCAAATGTTACATCCATTTACCACATACTCCAATGTTAATTCTCCAAAAGTGCTTTGAATTAAATTACAGAGTTATAAGTATTTTTCAGGTCAGTTCAGATTGGTATGTGACTCAACCACAACAAAATTCTAGAAGCCTTTAAACACTAGGGCTAAGGCAGGATCTGCCTCCTCATCTGCAGGGAAAAGTAGTCCATAGCTATTTTTCATCCAATCAGTGTTTTGTTTTATTTTTTAAGATAGAGGCTACATATTCAAAATTATCATGGTCCCTCTCACCAGAGGAATTGTGTGAACTAGCTGCACTGTGGCTAAGACCACACCTCTTACAGCTTCTAACTGCATCATTAATGATGGAAAAGTAGCCAGAGAAACATTTCCTGCACACAACACTCATAGTTTGATTATCTGCCTTAAGGACAAGATGATATTTACATGTGTACATGCACTATCCTTGTGTAGGTCACCCACTTCATTAACCCTACATTTTTAGGTCATCTCTCATCTCTCACATTCCATCTCAATAAACTCTACTGTCCTCCATTAGTTGCCTTCCCCAAGTCCTCCCCAACACCTGGAATCCTTTCACTATGCCCCTGCAATTCAAAGTCCATTATTTGCAAAATCTCTTATATCTTCAACTTTTCAAACTATGATTATTGCCTTCATAGTCTTCCTCAACAGAAACCTGACTGATGCACTGCCACTCTTGTAGCTCTATAAAGTTGAGACAGTGTCTTCTTTCACAGCCCCAGTATCTTGAATTTTACTTAATAAAGAATAATATATATATATATATATACACACACATATATATATATTCAAATATGATGTTCTATAAGGAGAGTTGAACCCAAGCTTGTTTAAGGATGATCCGTTAGTTAGGCATAGGACAGAGAGAGTTGATGTTTGAAGGGAAGTCAATGAAAATTAAATAAAATGGTAATATTTCACATGAAATCAAACTTAGTGAGTTACTAATAATACACAAAATTGCATATATTTAAATATAAAGGCAGAACAATATGTGCTATTTTGATTTTTATGCTCTCATAGTATAGTATAAAGTAAATAAGTGAATTCATTTATATGTATCATAGCTTGAACCAAAATTTCTCATTTAGAGCTCTGCTACATTGCTGGGCCTAACTTAATATTTTTTACTTTCTTACAAAATGAAAAATTGTATTATTTAAGTATTTATTATATATAAATACTTACACAAAAGAACTAACAAGTTAGGAGAGACACCCATTTCCTCATCAGTCTTTTGAACGCTTAAGGCAACCTCTTATGTCAGGGCCTTTGTTTCTGTTTATCATACTGTGTACCAAGGGTGCCCAACATTTTGGTATATCTGAGTCACACTGGAAGAAAAGTTGTCATAGGCCACACATTAAATACACAAGCACTAACAAAAACCATAAAAATCACATAATGTTTTGAGTAACTACAATTTTGTGTTGGACCACATTCATAGCCATCCTAGGCTGCCTATGGCCCATGGGCCGTGGGTTGGACAGCCTGGAGAAAACTTTGTTCCCAGAAATTCATACTGCTTGTTCTCTCCCATAATTCAGAAATCATCTATTGTTCATAGATACACACAAAACATATAAAATGTCTCTTCCCTCATAGGTGCACAATTATATATTCATAAACTAATGAATAATAATACATTTCCAGATGGCTAGGCCTGGTATGTTTGTGCTTATTTGTGTTTTTTTCCCCAAAAGTCATTATTATCAAACCAGAAATAATTAATTCATATATGTGATAATAATACCCCAGTAGAATCTCAATGTTTCATTTTACATAAAGTGATTGGCATGCTGATTTTTGTTAGTACTTACTGAGGATATGCTCATCAATTTTAGACAGAAAGGGGGAGAGCGAGACAGAGAGACAGAGAGAGACAGAGACATGGGAGAGAGAAATGTAGATCAGTTTTCTCCAGTATGTCCCCCCATGGACTCAAACCTGAAACAGGTGTGTACCCTGACTGGGGATCAAACCTACAACCTTTTGGTGTATGGGATGTTGCTCCACTCATACACCAGGGTGGCATCCTGATTTTTATGCTCAACTTGTAGTAGTTCAAGTGTGCAATCTTTCACCCATATTGTTTTTCTTCAATAATTGCCAAAGTTTTGAAATTTTATATTTTATTCATAAAATAGATACCTATGTTAATAGAACTACTTTTAAGTATAAAAGTACAACATATTTCTCTAAATTATATTGGCATTTACTTTTAAAATAGTAATTATATAAATGATAAGAAGTGGTGATACTCAGAACAACAGCAAGAAAAACCAACACACAAAGCCACAAACAAGATAATACAATGTGTTAGATTGTCAAAACCAAACATAAAACTAAAGCTAAACAAAACACAAGTGGCACTGGCTGCATAGAAAATGAGATTCGAACTTCTAATTTATGGTACTTGCTAAAGGACAACCAGACAATGAAAAAGTTATTCTGAATATTATAAAATGTCACAGGCATTCCAGTAAGTTTTGGATATTTTTTTAAGCTAGTAAATTATCTGCTTCATTCTGATATGAGCACATTTGCAATTATTATATTCATATGTATTACTGGAGCAGGTGTGAGCATATAGTATATGGCAGGTATTATATTACTAGTGTCATCAGTAGAGTGTTGTAACTGCTTTTATTATAAAATACTTAAAATTTTTCTAAAATAAGAGTATTAAAAACTTGTCTTTTAGTTACTGGAAATATTATTTTCTAATATTGAATATCATAGTGAACTAAAAAAGAAATGCATAAGGCAAGCCAGATTTTTGGAAGGGATTTAATATTTCTGTTTTATTTTCTTTCCAGCTTGGCCTGCTTCTGTCATTGTATACACTATACCCGATACCTTTTGGAAACTTTATTTGTCCACAAAATTTCTGCAGGGCATACACCTTTGAAAAATTTGATAAAGGTGGGGATTAATATGCTGTGTAATTTTAATTATTATTGAGCTATTTTGTGTATCAAATCATATGTAAATTAACTCTTATGTTTATTTCCCTCAAGACTTTTTCTATTCAGTTTATCAGTGTATCTTAAACATTCTGTTCTGAAATGCCATATCCTGGAATTGTCTTGAACTACTAGTACAGAGAAGCTTTTAGTTATAGTACAGTATAGTACAGTACAGAGAAAACTTTTTTGGGGGAAACTACACTGAATTCAGATTTTGGAGAAGGAAGAATCTCACATATGAACCATTCTGTAAATAGAAATTTGTGTGATAAAAATGATGATAATCCAAGTTTGTGATGTCTTTGCTCTTCAAATAAATGTTAAATGAAATAGCTATTAACCAGTACATAACTATCATGAAAATAGAAAATTTTCAAAAACATTGAGGTGAAAATATATATTAGTTATCATGCCACAATTCAAATATTCAATTAAAACTTATTTTAATTTATTTTCTAATTCAAAATTTATTTAAATATCAATTATGCATTTACTAAAATCTTCCTTTTTTGCAAGTATCTACTTTCTAAAAATTTGAACAAGGTAACCATTTCATTTCTGTCCTTGTAAAGAAACACTAAATTCGAGAACTTTTTGAAACCTCAGATATCATTTGGAGTTACTTATCTTTTGACAGAAGGTATTACAGCTTAGGACTTCTAAAATCAGCCTATTGTCCTTGCTGATAGGTGAATATGCACTACTGCTAATGGTTAAAAAATTAATTCTTATGTTATTTTCTGTTAAGAAATTATTATAAATAATTTACTATTTTATTACTTTATTCATATTTATTGTTGGATAGAATAAACCATTCTTTGCAAAATACATGGTTATAATAACCATGTATATGAATACCCATTTATATTAATAAGGACTAAACAAGAAATGCATTTCTTTTCTTTTTTAATTTCTTAAGTGATATTAAATAAGTACTTTTAAAATGATAAAATGCTAATTTACTTGGTGAATAAACATTCAATTATTTAACTTAGAAAATTTATAACATTTTCATATAAAATTATTGAAGTGCGGTGCATATATATATATATTTATATATATATATATATATATATATATATATACACACACACACATATAAATTCTCCTAACTTTTATTTTGTTATTTGCAGGGCTGTGCCTTTTATTGGGGCTTCACTTCTTGGATTGCCTACTACATTAATCACCCACGGTACACACCACCATGTATGTAGAATTTCTTCTTTACTAAACTAAGTTGCATGTATACATACTCATGTGAAGCTAGAAGAAATAAATGGAACTGTTAATACAGATGGTGAGCTTGTTAGATAATTTCATCTTTTATTATTTTTGTATATTTCAACATTCTCATCATGAGCAAAATAACATCAGGACACTGTATTAAATTTGAGGGGAAGAATCTCTTATATGGACGCTTCTATAATCATACATTTGTGTGACTAAAATAATTATACTACATCAATTTTTATTCTGCCTTTGCTCTTCAAATAATGTTAATTTAACATTTCACAAAAATTCTTTCCTGAATTAGATGTATAATATGGCAATTCAAAATATGAGTGTTTGCATATCTTTTTCTCCTTTCTAGCATTTGGAAATAGGCAAGTCACAGTATCTGCTATCAATTTTCTGGTATGTATTATTTATATTACTTGCTAGTCATGCTCTAATTATGATATTATTAAAATGCAAAATGGATTATATTTAAGTACTTGTTATGTAGATAATATCTATTTTATTGGCATAATGGTATTAAATGAAGTAAATTAACTTCCCATAATCAAGTCATTAGGTCTTTTAATCAAAATGTTCTACTCATCTATGAAGGATGAATAATTTTTTTAAATATAGTGCAATTTGAAAAAATTATACTCAGTAATTCTTCCTATTGTCTTCAAATATACAACTTATAAAACTCTAAGAGCAAAAAGTTTTACAAATCTAACATATGAACATCCAAAAAAACACTTTGGCATAATTGTTAACTAATTATAGATGCTATTTGAATCTCATCTAAAACTATGTTTTCATGGGCTTTTTTGAATGAAACAAGGATCTAACTTAATTGTTCTCAGTTTAGTTCTTTATATCATTTTATTTAACATTTGTTTGCTTTGACTTTTTTTTCCGATCCTCTGACTATAACAGATAAACATCAATGAAAGTTACATTTATTTTCTCATTACTGCCCTTTTAGTTTCCTCTCAAATTTGCTGAAGGAGCTATACAAATAATAAATACAAAGGATTTACGTTTTATACCCAAATTAAGTTGGAATCACTGTTTCTTATATAATGTATTTATAAAGCAGATTTTAAAAAGTAACAATATATAACTAATGCATATATTTTTATTTTATTGCATTAGTTATATAATTATAAAATAATAATATATTTTATTATTTTATTGTAATTGGTTATATTATTGTTTTTTTCAGCTAAACTGAGTTACTCCTAAAATATACTCATTATCTAAATTAGAATCAGCAGCTACTATACCCATAGAAATGATTGTTGTTAGAATAGATGTCAAAGCCAATGTAAAAATAATTTATGGATATATTATTATCACAAATATGTCTTAGCAATAATTAACTATAGAGTTAGTATACATAAAGTATCACTTTTAATTTTTTAAAAAAATCATGTGGTATGATTCTTATACTATATTATTATACCATATATGAACATTCTTGTGTTATACAATAGTTCATGAAAGCTCTATAGATTAAAAATAAAATTCAGGTAATCCCAGAATTGTGGTAATGAGGTAGAAAGAAATAAAATAAAAATAAAATACCTTAAACATTAAATAGATTCTATAAACTTAGACTTTATAGAGCAGAAATATTATCCCCTAGGACAAAGTTTATACAATAAAGTATTAGTTTCATGCAACAAATAAACTAATAAAATAACATTTGGTTTTCACTTTATGCAATGATATAAATACATTATTTGAATTTTTAACTGAAATCCTACAATTATTCATTTTCAGAAGTAAAATATATTGTTTAAAGCAAAGTAAATAAAATGGAGCACAGAAAGTCATAATAAATGGTGCTGGAACAACCTACATGCACATTTAAAAGAAGAATCTAGACACAGACCTTCCACCCTTCACAAAAAGTGACAAAATAGATCTCAGATCTAAATGTAAAATGTAGAACTATAAAGCTCTTAGAACAACGGTCTCCAACCTTTCTCTCATGGTTTTACCGCCGATGAGTCGGGGGAGCTGAGGGGGAAGGGGCATGAGGCAGAGCTCAGGCGAGCTAATCTCGCCACACAGTTCCTAATAGGACGCTGACCCGGTACCTGTACGCGCCCGTTCAACAGTTGGGGACCTCTGTCTTAGAAGGTAATATAGGTGAAAACCTAGATGTAGGTATGACAGTGGCTTTTTATATGCAAAATTAAAGACACAATCCATGAAAAAAATTACTGATTAGCTACTTCATTAACAAGCAAAAGAGAGACAGACTCATAATAGAGAAAGGCTGACAGTTCTTGGGGTGGGGCTGGGTGGAAAGATGATGTAAACAAGAAAAGGACTCACGGACAGGAAAAACAGTGTGGTGATTGTGGGGGGAGGGGGAGCAGAGGTGGGTACAAGAGAGATAAATTTTAATTAAAAATACAATAAAATATATCTGAACAACTATACAAAATTAATAGTTGTAGTGTAGAAGATAAGGTCAAGAGAAGGACAAAATAAGCATAAACAGGACAAATGAATTGCAGAAGACACATTTGATAAAGAACTGTTATACAAAGTATATAAAGTACTCAACAATAAAATGACAAACAACTGAATTAAAAAATGAGCCAAGACTTTATCACACAGATACACATAGGACAAAAGAATGTATCAAAATATATTCTGCATTTTCTGCCATCAGATTTATGCAAACTAAAACAATGAGATACCACCATATATCTATTAGAACGGCAAAATCCAGAGCATTGACACCAAATGCTAGAGAAAATGTGGAGGATTAAGAACTCTCACTCATTGCTAGTGCAATTGCAACCAAGATGGTACAGCCAGTAAATGGAAGAAGTGGTATAGTTTTTTGCAAAACTAAACATATTCTTACCATATGATTCAGTAATCATGTTCCTTGGTATTTAGTCAAATTAGTAAAAAACATGTCTATACAAAATCCTGCATAAAGATATTTATAGAAACTTTATTCATGCAATTGCCAAACCTTGGAAATAGCTAGGGTGTCCTCAGTAGGTAGAAGAATAAATAAGTTGTAGTATGTCAGACAATTAGATAATATTTAGTGTTAAAGAATAATGAGCTATTGAGCCTTGACAAGATGAGGATGAAAAGTGCAGCATAGGGAAGACAGTCAATAATCTTGTAACAACTATGTATGGTGACAGGTGGGTACTGGAAATACTGAGGGGATAAAAGTATATGATTGTCTAAGCACTGTGCTGCACACCTGAAACTAATACAAATATTGAGTATACACTGTAATTTAAAAATAAAATTAAAAAGACTTGGAAAAGCCTAAAATGTATTAATAAGCAAAACATGCCATTGTGAAAAATGCTACATACTGTATGAATCCAAGTAAATCACATTATGGAAAACTCAGAAAAATGACCAGTGATTGCCAGAGGAGAGAGGACTAGTAGGGATTAGGGATGAAAAGAGCAAAGGGAATTTTTAGAGCACTAAAATTACTATACAACCATAATGGTGGATACTCGTAATGCATCTATCCAAACCCTTGGAATCGCAACACCAAGTGTGAACCGTAATGCATATTATGGACTTTGGATGACAGTGGTGTGTCCATGTAGGTACATCAATTAGAACACATGTGTCACTCTTGTGGGCAATGTTGATAATGAGAGGCTATGTGTGTGTGGTAGCAGGGGGTGCATTGGGAATCTCTGTACCTTCCCCTAATTTTACTATAAGCTTTAAACTAATATAAAAAATAAAGTCTTAATGAAAATAATGTATTGGTTAGTATGTATATTTTCTGTTAAACCTTAGGTAACATTTGAAGACATTTCTTCTGAAACATAATGCATATTATTTTTTATTTTAATATAATTATATATAAATGGGTAGATATATAAATGTATATAAATTGGTAGATGTGAGGAATTAGAATAAAGCTTTGTAATTTTATTAACATAGTTATATAAATTATCATAAGTTTTAAGACTTATGAATGCTAAGATAGTATAATATTGCCCTATATTATTAAATAGTTTCAGTCTATGGGAATATAACTTACCCTTTGAAATAGAAACCAACTTCCAAAGATCAGAAGTTGACATATTTTATAGGTGAAACCTTATGTAATCATATATTTAGCCACTATTTTCATTATTATTGAAAACTTGATTCAGGTAAAATAAATAAAATAAGTTATAATTATCATTAAAATTGTTATAAATACAGAAAATAAAAAATAACTGAATTCAAAACAAACCAGATTATGAGAGTTAGAAACAGTTCAGCAGATTCAACATTTTGTTTTTATTATTGTTAAATATTTTATTTTATGCTATTACAGTTTTCCCAATTTTCCTCCCTTGCTCCCCTCCACCCATACCACACCACACTTCTTTACTGATTCTATATTTTAAATACATTAATAAAAAGACTATCACATTGCTCAAATGATAAAATAAGATATTAGCTTTGCCAATAACTAATGATAATACCAATAGTAATACATATAAAACTATAATGGGAACAGGTATATACAGAATTAAAGCAGATTATTTTCATTTCTGTAAATACAGAAGTGAGCAAAAGTAGGTTAATAATATATATTACCATAAATAATAAATAATAATACAAGAACAAACTGTGTCACATACAACTGTAAACCTACTTTTACCCACCTCTGTATATTATAAGATCATAAAGGTTGTGAGTTTTTGCTCTGAAAACTGAAATGATTTTACTAAGACGGAATGACAGAGCCACTACTTGATGTCTACAGGTTCTGTATTAGGCTGTTTGGATTTTGCTCTATGAAAACATCAGTTTCACCTATTTAAAGTAGAGAAGGTTTAACTTGATGAAGTTTAAGAGGAAGAATAATATATAAATTATATAAAAGTGGATCTCTGCAGTAACCCTCCCTCTACTCCCTTGTTTTGATCAGATTTGATCATTGGCATTTGCTCTTTCTGCCCCCAAAACAGCATGCAACTGACCAGGTAGTAAACAAAAAGCCTCTTTCATGATGAAATTCCATACATTCTGATCCAATCATATTTCCAGTCTAGGGACATTGAGATTCAATGGTGGATATTTTCAGAAGAAAAGTGTAGAGCATAATGTGAGAAGTGATACATCACTTCTAATATTTTAATCACATCCTTTGTGGACTATTAAATTGACACCCTGCACTGTATTTTGTTAAATACTTGGTAGTACTGATTAAAAATGAAACTGAAATGTCAGAGACAGAAGTGGGTGAAAAAAATAAAAGTATTTTTGTTTACTTTCTAAATGAAACCATTTAAGAAAAAGGTGATATTCATGTGCAAACATTGTGATTTTTTCAATTATGTTAGCTGACAATTTCATATTTATCCATATAATGATTCTTTTGAAGAATACAGAACGGACTGCTGAATCCTTAACACCCTGTAATCATTCAAACAAATACTAGTATGAAGTGACAAGTAGTCAAATTACTCAATAAAGATTAAGTAAAATAAGCACAAATGAATATTATTTTATTTTCCTTAAGCCCTCATATGCATCCAAACATAGAGACTATTTAAATTTTCATTAATTATTATATTAAAGTTTATTATCATTAAAAACACATCCTTAGCAGCTTCATTATTTTTCAATTGTGGTTAAAACAGCCCCAAACACCATAAACTTGCCTCCATTCAGTGCACAGTTCAGCAGGGCTGTGCGCCAGACAGACACTTAGTGACTTTAAAGTCTAAACCATCTTGTTCTTTACAGCTAAGGCAGTTCTGACAATGTCCCCAGGTTGTTTTTCTGACCTTGATATATTTATAAAATATAAACTCTTTTTTACTACATTATATTTTTGGAAAAAATGAAATAGTCAGAAATTGCTTATTTGTATATGAACAAAACAAATTAAATTCAAATTAATTTGTTCTACTACTATAATGCTGAAAATGGCTTGTATATATAATATTTTAATATTATTTGTCATAATAAATGTAGACATGCTTCCTTAGTATTTTTCTTACATTTTTGTATACTTAATAGCTACAATCCACCATTTTTGTTACACGGGGTTATACATATTTTATAGTAGATAGCACCCATATATCTTACTTAAAATAATTTAAAATTTAAATAATGTAAAATCAAATTTTATGGTAGGAAATGCCCCCAAACTTAATTTATTAAATTGTTTTATAACATATAATATGCCAAGTGAATACATCTAATTTTAGTAAGAATGAACTCAGGAGAAATGTGTAAATCATTTCAAGAAATACTGTTTCACCTTTAATGTGCCCCTGGAATTTTAATCAGAGTTAGAACCATATACTGAGTTTGTAGCAGTAACTGAATTTTCTAATCTTACTGAGCCCTACACCAAAAGGAAATTATATCAACCACTTCTAGTCTAAGTAAATTATTATTGCAGACCGTGTTGAACTCACTTATTCCCCAGAATTTTAAAGGTAATTCTTAAGGTAAAAATTACAAATAGTCACAATTGCTCTTAAAAAAATCAATGAGGAAGTTAAGTTGCTAATAAATTAAATATCTCTAAGCATATAACTACAGTTGGTAGTTTTCTTTCCATACCAAGAAAAGATATATATGTATATAAAGGATTTTATCACTATAACTACTGATTGGGCTGGGGAAACAGCACCTAACGTAAATTATGAAATTAGTATAAGGTTACACTGCTGGGCTAACTGAAACAAAAATGCTATATTATTCAAGGCTCATACTTTAAGTAGAAGATTCATGTTTTATTAGTTCTGTTATGATAAGTAGAAAGAAGAAAATGCTTTGATGGTTGAACGAATATATAACATTGATAATCATAAAGCAAATGTGTTTTACCAGAAGATAAACATTTTCTAATATATAATTTGTTCTGAAATATTTGACATGTTAATTTCTTTTTTTAAGATTTTTTAAAAGATTTTATTTATTTATTTTTAGAGAGGGAAGGGGGGGAGAAAGAGAGAGAGAGAGAAACATCAATGTGCGGTTGCTGAGGTCCGTGGCCTGCAACCCAGGCATGTACCCTGACTGGGAATCGAACCTGTGATGCTTTGGTTCACAGCCCACGCTCAATCCACTGAGCTATACCATCCAGGGCTGATATGTTAATTTCTTATTGATAAATATTTTTAACCACATATCACATTTTCTGACTGGTTCTGTGAGTGATGAAAATAAGTATGATAGGGTGTCTGGACTGAGAGATGAGCAACAGATATGAGAAACAAACACACAATAATTAATTTGGCAATTAAGTGTTTGTAGTGTTGACAATGTGTGAGACAGAAATTTAGAGAAGTGAGATGAATGTAGACTCATTTCCTGAAGAAGTTTCTATTGATGATATTGGTAACTAAAATTATCATAACAATTTTATTGAATAGTTTATGAGAGTATTTGATTTTATTTAGTCATCATTTAATACCTATAAGACATTTATATTAGCATTTAGATGAAGAAATGAAATTTCAAATATCTAAATCACTTAAAGTATAAGTGAAAGATGCTACATACTGACACATCCATCCAACCAAAGTCCACGGTCTTAACTGAACTAACACATAAATAATTTCAACTATAATATCACTGTCTAAAAATTCAAAATTGAGCTTTTCATTTTAATAAGGAGAAAATAGGATTATCTTCTACAGTTATAGAAATAATGTTATATGTGGATAAATGCATACCAAAATGCTGAAACAAAAAAGGAACAAAATCAGTTATATGCTAAAAGATTAATAACATTAAAGGAACTGAATTAAAAAGAATATAGTGAAAACTGAATGACTCTGCACAATAAAAATTTTGGATAACACAACCCATTTTTAAAAACACAGTATTTCACTGATATGTCCCCTAGAGCAAGGGACATAAAGGAAAGGAAAGAATAAACAAGTGGGACTTCATCAAAATAAAAAGCTTCTGCACAGCTAAAGAAAACAATATTAAAATAAAAAGAGAACCAACTGTATAGGAAAATATGTTTGCCAATGATACCTCAGACAAGGGTTTAAACTCCAAAATATATAAAGAAATCACACAACTCCACTCTAAGAAGACAAGCAACCCAATTAAAAAATGAGCAAAGGACTTGAATAGACACTTCTCCGAGGAGGACATACAGAGAATCCAGAGACACATGAAATGATGCTCAGTATCACTAGCCATCAGGGAGATGCAAATTAAAACTACAGTGAGATACCACTTCACAACAGTCAGAATGGCCATCATAAACAAAGCAACAAACAACAAGTGTTGGAGAGGTTGTAGAGAAAAGGGAATTCTAGTGCACTGTTGGTGGGATTGCAGACTGGTATAACCACTATGGAAAGCAGTATGGAATTTTCTCAGAAAACTAAAAATGGATCTGTCTTTTGACTCAGAAATTTCACTGCTAGGATTATATCCTAAGAACCCTGAAACACCAATCCAAATGAACCTATGCACCCCAATGCTCATAGCAGCAGAGTTTACAATAGCCAAGTGTTGGGAGCAACCTAGGTGCCCATCATTAAATGAATGGATCAAAAAACTATGGTACATTTACACAATGGAATTCTATGCAGCAGAAAGAAAGAAGGAGCTCTTACCCTCTGCAACAGCATGGATGGAACTAGAAAGCATTATGCTAAGTGAAATAAGCCAGGCAGTGAAAGACAAATACCATATGATCTCATCTTTAACAGGATCAACAGAACAAATGGACAAGCAAAATATAACCAAAGACACTGAAATAGAGAGCAGACTGACAGTGACCAGAAGGGAGAGGGGAGGGAATTTCAGGGGGAAAGGGGGAGGGTTAAGGAACAAGTATGAAAGACACATAGACAAAAATAAGGGGGGGGTGGAAATGGGAGGGAGGTGGGGAGGGCTGGGGTTTGGGCTGGGATGGGAGTAAAAGGCAGAAAACTTTATTTGAACAACAATTAAAAAACACAGTATTTATATGTTGAGTATATGCTTTGTGTTAAATAGGATAAGATGTATATGACAGCCAAAGAAAAGAGTCTTACCTTCCAAGGATGTATGTTTGTGTTTTGGAACATTAGTCCTGGGAGATCTTGGTGAGGCCTGAGGGTCATAATCGCCTGCTAACAAGGACGACTAGAAGATGTACCTGAGCAAAGGGCCTGAAAACAGACACACAGCCAGTGTCTGTGCAGGACAGTGCTGCTTATGAAGAGTTGTGTAAGCTGAGCTGAAACCAGCTGAGAACCAAATTACCAACCTTACTGTGGTAATTTGGAGAAGAAAGGTTCTTACTGTGTTAATAAGTGAAGAATATGCACAATTGTATCAAGTTTATGATCAGCATCATGACTTGTCTTTTCATGGCATAAAAATATCCCCCCATAAAAATACAAAGCAGATAATCAGCATGGCTTGATTCATCAACCACTTTGAGCCTGGTTATCAAACAGGGTAAATAATATCTTCAGAATTTCTAAGTCAATGTGACATTATTTTGGCTCTGTATAAGCCCACAAAAAACTTCTTTTATTGTTAGACTGCAACATTTTCTTTCCTTTAATTAGAGCAATAACATATCTATTGAATCTTTGGGATTAGTATATTACATGGATAGTAATGAATCTACCAGAAACATTTTTTTAGTAGGCACAGGCATATCATCCTAAAAAATAAAATGCTTTGCAGATTTGTGAAGCTGGAAATCATTTCATCAATGTAGTATTGGCTCATCCCAATCACACAGGTAAGTCCTTTTTATTTTAATCTACTCTAGGGTGAATTATAATAATAATTATTTTTAAAAATCTTAAATAAAAATACAAAATACTATATAGTTTTACTTTTATGTGGAATCTAAAATACAACTAAACATAACAAAAACAGACTCACAGAAATAGCAATCAAGGGATGGTAACGAGAAGGAAGGGGTAGGGTATGAGAGAAAAGAGGAATATATTCAGTAATGATGGGATAAGTTTACATGATAACAGTTAATTATTAAAATGAGCAGGGTGATGACATTGTAAGGTACCAGGCCTCTTCAGAAAGTATTCAGCCATGCAATATGAAAAATAGAGACATTTACTGAAAAAGATACAAAACACAGGAAATATTGTACACTGACACCTCAGTCTCCTTCACAGTAGGCACTTGTGACCTAACACAGTTCTCCCAGTGCCTCTTCCACTGTTCAGAAACACTGCAAATTCCTTTGTTGGAATCGCTATCAGCTGCCCCATTGTATTTTCCTGAATTGCGGAATGAATTTTCCCACAACGTGTTTCAGCCCAAGCTTCTGCATCAAAATCTTGGACACATTAATTTTTGGAATCCCCAGATCAGCTTCTAGTTCTAACACTGTGAGTCACTGATCTTCATTGATTGGCAGTCCCCACACATTCAACATTATCAGGTGTTCTACTTGTTGCAGGCCTTCCCGAACATGGATCACTTTCAACAAATTCTTAATCGTCTTTGAAGTGTTTGTGCCATGTTTTTATTTATGTTGTCCTCATTGCATAATCTGAAAAGTTTCTGAGAAGGAATGTTCAAGCTTAACACAAAATATGATGCAGGTTCATTATTTTACTCTCTCAGTCATTTTGAATGCGACCGCCACACAGTACACAAACTCACTCAACAGCATCTACTGCCCCCACTGACTAGTACGGTGAAGTCATTATTGTTCACACATGCACATTCCAGTCTGCTTGCTCTCCTTGGTTGCCAGGTTACATTGATACCACACAAACCATTCTCATTATATTAACAGTAGCTGGACTTTTTCTGTACAGATCTTGGTATAAAAATTTTGAATCACTATATTGTACACATGAAATGAATATAACCAATATTAAATTGCACAAAAACTATACTTAATTAAGGAAATAAGTTTTGAGTGATAAGTAGCAATAGTTGGAACCATTTATAATATGCTCCAATACTTTCAATGCCTAAGTTTTCCAAATATTCGAACTAAATACATGCTTTAAACAGGTATCAATGATCCATGGACAAGGACAATGGTGTGGGGGATTGACTGTGGGAATGGGGGGTGAACTGACAGAAAAGAACAAAGGTAAAATTTGGGCAGCTGTAATAGAAAAATGATAATAAAAAGTAGTGGTTTCTCTAAAGAAATGGGTGAGTGCACACACCCTTGCTCTCCCCCTACACATACCCTGAACAAAAACTCACTTTAAAATGTGAAAAAAAAAACCCCACATGATTGAAAAGTGAGGCAGTATGAAATCCGTTGATGGATATCTGATTCCTTAGGTTAGTGCCCAATCTTGATCTAATTTGCACAATGATTGATACAAACACTGCTTAGAACATGTGGAATTTGGTAGTTAAAGATATTTGAACAAAATTAGTGTATATTATTTAAAGATATTTTGGGTAAATCAATCTTCCCATTCAGGTTCAATTACACACAGGGATTCACAAAATCCTTGTTTACACTATACATAAATTAATTGTACATTTCAAATAGCAGTGGTAAAACCTGTTTTTCTTGTTGTGTTCAAACCAACTAAAAATATAAAGATGCATTTGTCTCTACAAGTATGTTTTAATGTTTACCTGAATTTCTTAACATTTTCTTGCTATAAACATTTCTGGTGGGCTGATAAAGCATATGACCCACATTCCAGGAAAAATTTATAATAAAATACCTAGAATTGCAAATAAATTTTATTATATTAGAATATTTGCAAATACATAAAAGATATTATAATATAATAACATGGTTCATATTATATTAAATAACACTCAAGTACTTAATTTTGTTGAGTATCAATAAAATAAGTTATATTATTATGTGCAAGAATATTTAAAGCAACTATCATATGATTTGAAATTATCTCTACTTTCATTGCGGAAAAAATTTCACAGATAAATCAAATTTGGTTTATTGTTTGCATTTGTATAAAATGCTATTGTGGCTTGTTTGCATTTGTATAAAAGTAAAGCCTACATTTTATGAGATTGAATGTCATTTTTATCTGATTCAAATTAATAGATCTACTGAATTCTCTTTGGATATGTATGATGAAACCCACATGAAAAACTAATGGTCTATTTTTTTTATGTTGGAGCAAAACACAGTAAAATCCCATAAAATTGCTAACATTGACAAATTTATAAATGTCACACATTTTAGTCCTGACTGTGACCCTCTAACAATATGCCCTTGCTCAAATTTCTCCATCTACCTGGAATATGGCATCATTATTTAAATAGAAAAATGTAAGTCATTATGTTTTAAAAATCAAACATGACTTTGAAATTATTCATGAGAAAATACTTTGCATATGTGTGTTTACCATATACAGTATCCACGTTGCTCTTGAGAAATCAGATGCCAATCTAATCTCTGCTTTCTTAACTGACTTTTTTTCTTGAAGAATCCAGAAGACTTTTTCTTTACTACTAAAGTTTACTAATTGTGTAAGGTGTGTATTAGAATAGATAATTCCACCACAATTTTTCCAGGGACATGCTGTAATTATCTAGTAGATTGTTTTATGGATTTTTAGAAATATAATTTTAGAAGGTTTTCTTATAGATTTAAAATTCATTTCATTACATTGTGGACTGTGGAGGTATAGAGTTAAATGTATGTTATATTATATTTTCCTCATTATCTTATAGATTTATCACTTTCTATTTTTAGCTTCAGTTTATTGTTATTTTGGTTGATTTTGTTCATTTACTTGATAGTCCATATTCTATTGAACATTCCAAATCCTTTGAAAAAATTAAATATATTCAACATTACTGAGATAGCTTTTTTCTTTTTCTACTTTTTTTTTTGCATCCAGTCCTTTTTTCCTTTGCTCTTTTGTCCATATGAATTTTTAGTTTTGGGATTTCTTAGTGGTTATATTCTTTGGCATCTGCAAATGCTTCTGGTTATAAGTATTCTGTTAAAAATTTTATCTATTTTCTCTTTGTGAGGTAACTTTTTAAGAGGAAGAAAAGGAAGTTTCTCATATTCTATTTTATTCACATAGGAGCTTTAAATAATACTGATTAAGTTATGTTCATTTTTAAGTCCATAGATTGTCCTTGAGAAGAAACAGCAATTGTTTTTATAGACAGGATGATTGGAATGAAGTGTCTAAAGAATAAGGTGTGCTCTGGAAGGAATGGAGGTTTCATTGTATCTTTTGATTCTCTACATATTATTTTGTTTTTTAAAATTCCTTAATTCCTAGAATTGTGTCCTTTCTTCCTTACCCTGCAAGCCTCAAGACAATGCCTTCCCCTTCTGAGCTGCATTCCTAGACTCCAGTTTCCTTCCCTCAAAGCAGTGCCTTCTAAGCAAAGCATCTGTCCTCACTATTTCAGATCATTGCGTTTGAATTTCCATACCCAGCATTTGCATGAATCAGGTCTCAGATATTTTCTAAAAATAGACCCTCACCTTCTGCTGATGAATTCTAGATATCTGCACATTCAATACATTATTTTCCCTTACATAAAGTCCTTATACAAGTATTAGTACCTTGTCAGCTCCGCATTAGTCTCCGCTGCTGTTGGATTGTTATTTCCCCACTTCCATATTAATTGAAGTTTGTAGTAACATCTGTCTCAGATTTGCTTTAGGCATAAATTATGGTAGAGGAACCATTTCATATTGCATGTTTAATTAAACAAGGTGTCAAAATGTGTTTTTAGGACACACAAATTGATGCAGGATAAGATTTAAAAAGCATTTTAAAAAGTATGAAAAAATACATCTTTTTTCTAGTGGTAGATGTTGTTGTGATGCTGTCTCAAACGGGGCTTTAGTTACTTTGTAGAGACATTGTAACCAAACAAATAATTGGGTTTTTAACTTCTTGTTGCCACAGAAGTCAAACTTGTGAGATGCTTGTGCAAAAAAAGAGAGATTTTTTTCAGGTGCTGTGTGATCTGGGAAAACAGTGAACTCCCATCTCAAAGCCCATCTACTCTGCAAACCAAGATAAAAGCCAGTGTGCAGAGTTACTGCTACAGTTTGAAGTATAGTCCTTTGGAGTCCACAGGCAGCTGCAAAGCCATCATAGTCCCCATCCAGGTAGCTTAGCTTGTTTCTGGCTGCTCTTCATTTCAGATTCTCTCCTGGAGCTTGAGTGAAGAGCCTGCATGACCATGGTCCATGTGGCTGCTAGGGCTGCAAGTTCTCATACACCTAGTAAAACCCGGAAAAGACACTGATGTTCAGGCTGCCTGTCACACACCAAACCCAATAAGCAGAGACTGGCATTGAATCTTTATGGGTGCTTTATTCAGATGGCTGACAACCTGAGAAGACAGTGGGTTCATGCCCTAATGGACTGTCTTACATTTCCTTCCAAGACAACACTTGTATAACAGAGAACAGTGTGGTGAGTGGTTTTGAAATTCAGGGAAAATTACATTAAAAAAACTGCAGCATTGTCACCCTGGGCTGTTAGCTCTTCCCAGGGGTGGGTGGTTGTCTGTCTCTTCCTGGAACACAATGGCCCAGATGCCTCCACTTATCTCCAGCCAGTGGTCTTCAGCAGTGCTCCAGGAGGTTGGCTGTCTCTCCCAGGAGCCAGGATGGGCCTTATGTGTAGTTTCTGGAACAAAAGCTTTAACATATGCATTATTTATTAGCCTTATAACTGTTTATCCTAAACTAAAATTTTCTAACTCTTGAGTCCCTGTTACTAGGAAAGAGCCTGAATATACCAGTAAGTTCATCCCCAGGTGGACAAGAGAGACAGAAAG